TTTAACGCTTGGATTAATATATTTGCGCTGGTAGCCCATTAACGCGGGACGAATTTATTATAATTATTAACTTTCGCGATAAAGAACGCGTATAAACGTGTTTCGCAATACTGGAAACACGTTAATTCCTGTGCATTACTCCTAAACGAATAATTTATACTTGGAACTTTGTCCATTTACCTAATGGAGATATATATTGTTTGCTGAAATCTTCTCGTTTTTTTTTTTTTTTTTTTTTTTAATCTTTACTCTAATTGAAATTTTACGCTCCATTTTACCAAGCATTTGCACGAGGCAAAACGTGTTAATTAACGCAGTTCAATAACCTAATAACCTCCTAAAAACGCGGCAAACTCGAACGAGTCTCTCCAGCTCTCCTCCGGGTCAAGAACCATTAGACTACCAGATCGCTGATAGGCAGGTTTTTTAATCAATTCCTCCCTTATTATATTAATAAAATACTCGTTTTATTAAAGAATAACCCGAATAATTAAAAAGAAAAAATTATATCGATCGTTCGTGATGGATCAATTTCCCGAAAGAAAATCTCAAATCTTCCAAAATAAAACACAACGCAGGCCAGTCGTCGATTAAAAATTTCTCGAATTCACGAAAACGAATATAAACATCAATTTACGCGATTCAAAATTGTTCCATTACTCGAGATCGATCATTAATTATATTCGAGTAGAGCGAAACCATTACCATTCTCTACAGCGACGTCAAAGCGTGGATCGAACTTCGTCTCATCACCATCCTTTCCATCGATCCCCATCTCGACCACCTCCTCAAGCATCCCTCTGCCATGCTCCTCCTGCTCGTCTTTGAAACGCACGCTTTTCCCCTCGCTGAACAGGACACCTTCCCCCGCCCTCCTCCCCTTCAAAATAGGCGCGCCAACCAACAGATCGATCCTCAACCCTCCCCCAAACCCCCCCAAACCGGATCCCCCCCCGTTGCCGCGCGTATCCACCCGTCCCCGGTTACCCAAAATGGCGGCCGATCGGGAAAAATCGAGCGCAGGAATGGCGATAGTGTTCATCCTCTTCAAATCCAACGTGTTCAACTTCTTCTCCTCCAAGCTTCCTCGCCTCCTTTCGCCCCAGGTTTCGTCGTTCCTGAACCGAGCCGGGGGCTCGATCAGAAATTTCAACGCCTGCTGGTACTCCCCCTCCTCCCCCTCGGTTAACCCTCGAACCCTCGACCACCTCCACTCCGTCTTTCCTCCTCTCGAATTCGAATCCTTCGTTTCTCTGCTTCCTCTATTTTTTCTTCTTCTTCTTCTTCTTCCTACGCTCGTCGCTGGTGATTCCTCGTGTATCTTCCTCGACGCGTTACGACGGATCTCCCCGAGTCTCGATCGAGGCGTACGGTCGCCGTTCAAGGAGGAGCGGAGGGAACGGAGCACGGCGAGGAATCGAGATCCTCGAGGAGGGGCGAGGGGCGAGGTTTTTCTGCTCGGCTCGTTGGGGGATGAGGTGAGAAGAGGGGCTGGAGTCGCGTCCTCCTCCGCGGTGGAGAGACATCGGGAACAGGTGTCGAGGAATCTCATGTTCGTTGGGGAGAAGAGAGGAAATTTGTTTGTTTGTGATATCGAAAAGAGGGTTTTTTTAATGCCTTTTCTATAACAGGTACGCGATCGAAGGAATTAAGAATAATTAAGAAATTTTAAAATCATTCTTGTTATTTGTTTTACTATTGTAAATAAAAAAAATCTTTTCGCACAAACACAAACACTTTTTAGAACTATTGATTATAAATCTTTGCGCTCCAAGCTTTTTTCCAAGCTTCCAATACGATTTCTCCCACACCTGTTTGAATTTCTTAGCTAACTCGAAATGATTTCATACATATAAAATCTTTACGTAAAGAAGAAAAATTTGTTAAATATTAAAGTCTATGTTTGTTGTTTCGTGTGATGTTTTAATAGTAAAGTAATTGCCAAGATGCATCCTCGGTTTGTCAGGGCAAGTATCGCGATAAAATATCTATTTGATATCTTTCACCTTTCTTATTTCATTAAAAGCTCTCATCGTTTTATTATTCTTATTTTTCATCTTCTTATACCGCATCTCTATTTTCATCGCTATTTCTCTTCTCCCTATCGTCAATTTCTTAACGAATAGAAACAATTTCTTCTTTCAATAACGAAAAATCAAACTCATCTTCGCTCCAACTAATCTCATTTTACCGTATTCCTCCCAAAACTCGAAAACTTTGAAAATAATATCTCTAAACCACTAAACCGTCAAACTAAAATTTAATTCTGCGATCCTACGCTTTATAAAATTATATATATATAAAGAGATTAGGAATCTATTCGTGAAGCGATATTTAAAAAAAGTTAAACACGTAAATAAATATCGTCGCCGCTCGAAATCGTCATCAAACAGTGTAATAAAAGTCGCACCATTCGAGCGCGGACGGTTAAATTACTGCAATATATCGTTTTTTACTTTTTACTACCCTTTTTTCCATTCGAATATTATCCTCCAACGTTATCGCGATGCAATTATCTTCTCCTTTTCTCAAATTCTCTTCGTCACGGGTCGTTGGTCGCGGCGTTGCTTACGGAGGAGGGGGGAAGGGGGAGAGGGATCGACACCTGTTTCGCGCGAGCCATTAGGACTGGAGGGCGTTGTGAGCGAAGGAGGCATATCCGTTTTCGATCGATCGTACAACTCGTTACGCCCCGAATTACGTAATTCGAGTGCGTAACTGCAAACGTATTCACCGATATATATATATAATATAACGCAAAATTTGGAGACTTTTCTGGTTCGTCTTCTCTCGTTCAACAACTTTCATCGATCTTTCTTCATCGATCGAAACTATATCTGCTTTGCAGCGCCCAGAATGAAAATCCAAAGATCCTGCTTTTCAATCGATGACAATTGTTTGGATAACGCTTCTTTTTCTCAGCAAGTAATTTTCCAGCGTGTATTGGGTTATTCTCTCAAAAATTCTTTCCTTTACTATTTCTCAACCTCTGATGAATTTATTAATTCAATGATATATATATATATATTTAGATAATCCAAGATTCTTTGCGTTTACTTTTAAAATACTTTCACGCCAAATTTTACGTATAGATTTTTAGAATTATTATATAAACAGCTTTTTTTTTTAAAATCGTTAACTCGTCCATTACGAATGAAACAACACAACTCCTCTTCTCCTTTTCTCTCGTGCAAAGACGAAAGCTTGCTTTCTCGAGTATACAAACGATATACAGTTTCCGACGAATTCTGTCACTGGTCGGGTTCGAAAACCGTTTGACCGGCGCGAAGAGCGTTGGAGGACTGGGCGAAGGAGAGATGGATCGGTTGGAAAAGGAAGAGGAAGAGGGTCGTCTTGCAGGGCGAAGGAGAGAGGGTGCGGCACCTCGCCGTGCACGGACGAGCGCCTCCATCCATCCTTGTGGTCGCAGGTGCACGACACGTCCAGCTGCGTCGCGATGCTACGACCTGGGTATTTCGAGCTGCATCCGCAAGTTACGCGCGTCACGAGGTTCGTCTGAAACTTTCTGGACGGAATTCGATTGCTTTGGACGAAGAAATTCGAGTGCGAAGTCACTTAATGATTCGTATATTGTACGAATTATCGGATCTCGATGATTTTTTTTTTTCAGTCGGGGTAAGTAGCGATTTTGTGCATATGCGACGAGTATGTTTTACTTAAAATGATTTTTATACACTTCGTAGTAAAGGAATGAGGATTTGAGGAATATTGTTCGCGTATCGATGTACTGCGTTCGTCGTATATTTTTAACGTTACATTCGATATTTTAAAAAAAACTGTAATTTTGATTTCCTTTCATTTATATTTAAGTATTTATTGATTTCTTTTTGTTCTATTTTGTATCATATGTTTTATTTTTCTATATATTTTTGATATTATACTATCCATTTTTAAAAGAACTAATTTTGTTTTGCTCTTTTCATTTGTATTTAAATATTTATTGATTTCTTTTTCTATCTATTTTATATCAAGTTATATCATATGTTTTATTTTTCTATATATTTGTATATTTATATATTTTTCACATATCATATATATTTCAAATAATAACTTGTGATAAAAAGCAACATAACCTCAAAAAAAATAATTTTATCCTATTTCGTGGCGACCGAGACTCGCCTCTCGAGCGCAAAGGGTTGTGAGATAATCGAGAATTAGACGTATTCGATGTTGTGAGCGCCGCTTCAAGTCCGTCTGGTTATCGTCGCGTGACGATAACGTCTCGATTCGAGAGGCAGGAGAACAATTTCGTGTTCCGCCCGCGACGGTTTGTCGACGCGTTAATTTAAGGCCCCCATTGTCTCGAATTCGAACGATCGGTCAATTTGCGACGGTTGCTCGTCACGCCCTCTTTCCACGCACCGGCGATCATCGTTCGAGATCGTAAGTTGACTCTATTGGCCATCCTCGATCGACCAAATTATCTAATTGATCCACCACGACTCTCTCAGTCGGTAAACGATTTTCATTTTCTGTTCCTCTATTTACAGAATACGCGTGAAAAATTATCCTTTTTAGATAATAGGTTATGAAACGATATGATTAAAATAAAAAATATACATAGCGAGCGATAATAAAGATATTATATACACAACCTTTGTAAATTATTCCTACTTTTTTTCTGAATATTAATGCTTTGGAATTATTACGAAAATTTGTTCGGTTTTAAAATGATCGAGTTTCTTTTATCTATAACTTTCGTCCTTACCTATGAATAAATTGGTAATTCTAAGTGTTGAAGTATATAAATGGTGTAATTTTGTACCTGCTCGACGATATATATGTATATATATAGACGATGGGATAAAATACACATCGCGTGTCGCTCGATAAAGTACGATTTTATTTCAATGTGAACAATGTATGTAGATCGCTGGAAATGGCGAAAAGTTACGTTTCTATTAATTTCAATGAGAATGATAATATGTTCGATTGTGAAAACAAGCGAGAAAATTGTAAGATAAAAAATTTACACTCACTTGCTTCGTTCTTCTTCGAATCTGTGGATGGGACCCGTATGTTCGATGTGGTCGTTCTCGTCGTCGTCGTCGTCTCTGCGCAAAAAGGAGTTAAGAAAAAAATATTAAATTAAATATCGGACGCTAGAAAAAATTTTTCCAATTTTCTCCTCCCGTTATTATCGATATTAAAGTGCGTTGTATTGAAAGAAAAAGAAATACACAGATCGTACAATAATTATTATCGCTATATGTACGTCCGTTAAAAAGAACTAGAACTTACTAGTGAGAATTTCAGTGGTGGTGTTTTCCTGCAAACTGCTTCTATAAATTCGTCTCTTCGGGGAACCAATATTTTCCCTGAAAATCAGAGCATAGAAAGAAAACTTTCTTCGAAAATTCGGTTGTAATATATATAAATAATAATAACTAGAGAGGAAGAATATAGGGAATTTGGGAAATGTCACGTGATGTGAGAAATCACCAGGGGATACTTACTGATTCAAACCGAGTTTCAAGTGTTCACCGGCGTTTCGTAAGAGTGCATGCGCCTCGCTGTTCGTTAAATCCCTGGTAGTTCTTCCATTTATGCTGCTAATTAAATCACCCTCTCTCACCCCCTGTTGAGCCGCTTTACTGCCTGGATTAACCTGCAACGAAAATTTCAGATTTGTACCTCAATTAAAACGAAATTTCCGAGCAGTCTGTTCACGAATCCTCGAATTTCAATCCTCTCCTTTCGTTTAAATCGCGATTATCATTCCTTTTTCATATCCAATTTGCAAATACTACGATTTTTTTATTACATGCAGTAATTTATAAACTGGAAGAACAAGAAAAATTGTTTAAATATTCTTAGATTACAGGGCAAATCTAGTAGAAGAAAAAAAAAATATATATATATATATATATACATATAATTTCACTTCGTAAGTTCGAAAATGTAGAAGAGAGAGATGGCTCGTCTCGAAATTTACTCATTAAACTCTGGCTTGCCGCTAGAAAAGTCTCACCGTGTAAGTGCACTTTCGTTGCCCCGACGCTCGAAACTTCAACATGTTGTGAAACTTTCCTCCGAAGAGTCTGTCGATATGTCAATAGAAGCAACGACAACGACGACGAGTAGTAATTCGTAACTTTGTTCCCTGATTTTTTTTTTTTCAAAAAAGGCGAGCAAAGTTTCAGCTTTAATTAAAAAAGAAGTTGTTTTCTGCAAAAAGTTGCAAATCCTCCACTCTGCGATCTTTTAAAATTGGTGTTTAAAAGATCTTCGTTTCGCAACAGATATATATTTATATTTCCAATTGTGATTTGAGAATATATTAAATATCGTTAATATGTTAATATGTTATTATCGTATAATGGATTAATAAAAATTGTTAATAAAAAAATATTCGAAATTGAAAATTATATAGCTTGGACTAATCGAGAAAATTATTTTCATCGTTAGCAAAACTAACTTACCGACTAAAACAAGATGATGCATAAACAGCGCTATCTTCGAAGAAAAGCTGAACTACGATAAAGAAACCTTAGATTTTACCGATCTGGAAGTACTAGATGTACACTCACTATTTCTAGGGAAAATGTTATGATACAATCTAAAATAATCGATTTTTTGTTTATAATTTATTTGTTAAATTTTAATGTGAACTCGAGGAATAGAATATCTAGGATATTATTATTATTATTATTTTATAGAGTAGAATTAAATTTTCAAAATTTTCCTAATTCATCAGGAAAGATTCTATATACATATACATAGATTATATCACACATCTACGCTTCAAAGGAATGCACTCAAAGGAATTAATTTGTTGTCGCTTGAAGACATCGTTAATTAAAATTGTTACGTAAATCGTAGACAGACTTCTTGCGTAGTCCATTAAATTTACACCAGACTAGATACACCAGCTAATGTAATTTAAATTTATATTTGTATAATTTTTTATTATCGAAATTTAATTGAAATATAATAAAAATAATAATTTTTATTTGTCGAAAAAATTTCTCTAAAATTCGAAACATCACGATCTCTTTTTCTGTATCGAGAAAAAAATGAGCAAAATATGGAAGCTCTAAATTTCGAAAGCAAGCTACGAATTTTTATTATCTGGAGCGTAACTGTTCAAATTATCCACCCATATCCAGCTATTGTCTACCGAGGTGTTATCCTTTTTCCGCCGTTGTAATGCAAATTTCTCTGTTTATTCCACGGAATCTGCCTCGTTAATGCGCACACTCTACTAAATAAGAGAAATTTAACGCTTGTAAAAAGAAAAAAAAAAGTCGAACACTTTCATGCTTCCAACCTAGAACATAAATTATATTATACACGACCCATATTTCTCGTGCATGCTCGTGTTCACTAATGATAATAATAAGCGCACGCTTTGTACAATTAATTTCCATCCATCGTTCAAATTGTAAAATAGAAATTAAAAGTGAATCTTAAAGAAAAGCTAAAGAATATTAAAACTCATATCGTCCGATTTATCGTTTCACTGTCGATATATCAACGTGAACGAGTGATCATTGACCGATCATTGACCACTGACCAGCCAATAATTGCCCAATTGTAGACCATTGATTCAATATTATCCGATCAACTGTCTCGATTATTGATCGATCCATCGATTTTCCAAAAATTCTCAAAAATCATAGAATACAATTTTAAAAAAATTTTACGATTCGAAAACGAATTTCTATATTTTTCACGAAAAAAAAAAATAAAGGAACAGACGAGCGAGGCAGCTACTTTTAATCAAGACTTCTCAAAGCTCTCCTTTAATATTCACTTTTTTTTTTTTTTCAGAATTACGCGCAGTTACGTATTAAAGGATGACCTAATTGTACGACAATGGTTGTACTCGAAACAGACGAGAAACGTCGGGAATGTTTGATAGAGGTAATTTCGAACGACTTCGAAACGTATCTTGTATAATAAGAAATCAATAAACCGATAACCGATAAAGCATTCATTAATTTCTTCTCACGCATCCAACGCGTATCCCTCTTTAACAAAAACACGTGATCAATCGAAATATTTACAAATTATATGATTTTTTTTCGATCATAGAAAATCTATTCCATCGAAATTCGCGTTTAACACTTCCAAAGAAATTAAGAAATTTTCAAATCGATTATTAAGATAAAAAAAATCACATTTCCCGATTATCTTGAAAATCGATACATTGAAAATGGGAAAAAGAAAGATGAAGAGGTTTGCAAAAATTCGGGACACGACGGGACCGTATACCAGGAGGCAGAAATTAAAACGAAACGAACGTCACGCAAGGAGAGAGGGAGAGAGGGGGAGATGTCTTGAGGCGAAGATAATTCAGCAAAGTGTGCGAACTACTCGCGGCGATACATAACATATTTTCTCATCGTCGCTTATTCCGAGAAGTTAGTCCATTGCCACATTCAACCAATCCTTTCCATGTCCTCCACTTTCCTTCAGCTCTCCTAAAGACGTACATACACTAGAGACTCCTGTATCCGAACTAATAAAGAAAAACAAAATGTTCGGATAATAGAACAATTACTTTCCTTTCCATTAAACTTCGTTTATTCAAGCAGAAATGAAGAAAATTGACGGTTTCTTTCTACGAATCTCGTATCTTTTCGGCCGTTAAGTCGCGTAAATTTTTTATCGCAAGCAGCTGCGTAGAATTACGTCCCCGTTGCGCCTCGAACCGTCGAACCATCCACCATGATATATTCTTGTTAATTTCGTCACACTTTCACCACTTTCTTAAGATTTTTAATAGTTAAAACTACGCCTCTTCGTTTACGTGTCATCGCGATACCGTTCTCCGCTTCGCACTGAATCGATGTGATTACGTTTAACACAGGCCGAACAAAATATTTATCACATCTGAATACATTGTATCTACGTTGTAACTTATAGTATATTGTATGTAAACATCGCTACGAAACATTGTGAGAATAACAGAGCATACGAATAATAGAACGAACCTTAAGGTATTCGAATAATGGGGGATACAGGAGTCTATTGTGTGTATGTGTATGTATATATATATTGCTCTCCCTCTTCCTTTTTTACAGCGTATTCCACTCTCCTTGCAAGCTTTTTTAAAGTTCTAATGGACGTGACTTGTCGATTAGAAGTCGTCGTTGAATTTAAAAAATAAAATATTTATATATGTTATTTGTACAACGTGCGCTTTTATAGATAAATGTGTTTTAAGTTAGTATAATTTTTTTTTTATTCCATTTTTTTAATTTAAAATAATGTATTTTAAATTTTTAAAATGATATAAAACGCAGTAGAGTTTAATACGATAATTTGAGAGATAACGCGGAAACATCGAAATTCCAGAGATATTATTAATTTTGGAATGTTTCCAAAAAAAAAAAAAANAAAAAAAAAAAAAATAAAAATAGATAAATTCTTTCATATTTTTTATTTGTTCAAAATTTCGTTTAATCGAGAGGAAATATTTATTCAACGATGCATATTTCACCATCGATAAAATGGTTCACGTCCGATTAACATATTTATCGATAAACAAACGGTTGAAATCCTCGTCCTAAAGCTTCTCTAAACTTTCAAATTTACGAATAAAACTTTGAAAAAAATAAAATTTCACCGGATGAAAATAAACGAAAGCGAATTTTGTATTGAATAAAAAAGTAAGAAAGTTATCTTTGTTTTCTGGTATTATTTTATAAATGCTGAACAATGCAGTTTTAATTTATTTTCACTCACTTCAGAAACTTCTTCGACGATGAAAAATCGAATCGATCTAATTTTCTTAGATTAAACAAATTTTTCTTTTTTTTTTTAAGTTTAAACAATGTTAACGTTAATCGAGTTATTATGACAGATTAAAGCAAAATTAAATACGAACGTATTGTATTATATTCTTTTTTTAATTCAGTGATTATTAATTACTATTAATTGTTGAAAAAGATTTTATATTATATATTCCAATATTTACTAATTAAATATAATAATCTATTTTATTCAACACGATTCAATCCAAGGAAAGAATCGCATCGAGATATATAGTATATTTCATTAAAAAAAAAATACGATCAAAATTTTGATTACAATTGATATAAACGTAAAACAATTTTAATCTAGAATCAATATCTAGGTCGGGCAAATCTAGCTTACGTTAGATTAGGTTAAATGTTGGGCCTAAATTAGATTAGATAAGGTTAAATTACGTTAAGTTAAGTGGATTAAAATATCTATATGGTAAACAAGATAAATAATACTATTATTCTTTCTAATAATAAAAATAATAATAATAAAAATAAAAACTTAACAAAGATCCTACGAATACAAATATTTGTATTCTCCTTTCTGAATTTCTTCAATTTTTCAACAACCTAACCTCAATATCAACATCGAAATATTATAATCAAACTTACTCGAAAATGACAGATGGATTATAATTCACGAACGATTTGCAATCCGACACTTTTTATTCTTCTTTTTTGTCTAAGAGATCCTAACAGGTTATCCACAAAGAGATTAGTCTCTTTCCCTCGGTACATTTCTGAATCGCAACGATTAAATCCTTCTCTTAATTGAATATCTCAATCCCTCGAGTGTCTGTCCCACGTTGAGTGGCTCGAACGATTTTAATTCGTCGATGAATATTTATAACATCTT